CCCGGGCAGCCCCCGGGTCGCCCCCGGGCCGCCCCCGACCTGCACCGCCCCCGACCTGCACGGCGCGGCACGCCCCTGGCACATCGGCACACTTTGACGAGTCAGTCGATCGCCGACCGAACGAAACGAGAGTCGCCAGGGATCGCCACTGGCCAGCCCGTCGATTGACCCGACCGGAAACGGAAACCACGACCCGAAGACGACCATGAAGGACAGGCGGATGCAGCAGCAGCAGGGCGGAGAGAAGAAGCTGAAGCGCGGGCAGAAGGCGCCGCCCAAAGAGCCGCACTTCAGCAACCCTGCGGCCCGCTTCTACGACCCCACCGACGACTTCGGGCTCAAGGCCTACTTCCCGACGCCCGACTACTCGGGCCAGATCCTGGAGACGCAGCTGCGCGAGCACGCGCCCTGGCGCTACCGGCCGCTCAGCATCACGGACCCCGCGACGCACCGCCGCTCGGCCGACGCGGAGCGCCGTGTTCGGGAGCGCCTCGGCTTTACTCGGGCCGACCAGCTGGCGGTGAAGCGCTCGGTGGGGGTCGCCAGCCTGCTCAACGCCAACCTGACCGCCGCCCCCCGCCGCCCCGACGCCCACCCCGCGGCCTGGGCCTACGCGTCCGACCAAGACACGGACACCAGTCTCGGACGCGACCTGCACCGCATCTCGGAGGAGCTCGACGTGACCGCCGTCGCAGCCGCCTCCGCCGCCGCCGCCGTCGCCGAGGCCACCGCCGACGCCGCCGAGATCCAGCAGAAAAAGGCCGCGCGCGCCGCGGAGAGAGAGCTGCGCGAGTACCGCGAGCAAACGCTGCGCGAGGGTCGCGAGCTGCGGAGCGTGCGCAGCCCGAGCGTCACCATGCCCACCAACGAGTACCAGGGCAAGTCGGCGCGCGCCATCGCGGGCAAGCTCATGATGGAGAGCGTCCGCAACCTGTGCCTCGACCGGTCCGCCACGGCGCTCGGCCTCGACCAGGAGCGGGAGGCCGCCGTCGTGGCCTCGGCCGCGGCCCGGGCCAGGCGCATCGCGATGGACGCCGAGGAGGAGGTCGAGACCACCACGTTCGTGGAGGAGCGCACCATCGCCCAGTCCATGGACGCCCTCAAGCGGGACATCCGCGGCATCCAGACCAAGTCCCACGAGTTCCTCGAAGGCACCAGGTGCGGTGTGCAGTGCGCGTTGCGCGGCGAGTGAAGGCCTCCGGGCGGCCGGGGCCGGCGACTCCGCCCGCTATGGAGTGAGCGCGGGCACGTCTCATGACGCCATGGCGCGCGATCCGGTGGAGCGCGGCCGGGCCGGTAGAGCGGGGCCGTCATGTGATCAGCTGACACGACACCTCCGCGGTGTCGACGTGATTCCGGGTCGTTTCCCTGAACGCGCCGTAGACGCTGACTGCCCGCCCCGCCCCCCGCCCCGCTCCTCGCAGACCAGACGGATCAAATGCTACGATACGACAGGGAAGGCCACCGTCGTGCCGTCGGGCAGGAGTAGTGCGGGGTGTGGTGGGGCGGGGTCTGGCAGGATGGGGAGGTTAGGCGCTGCGGCGGCAGTCCAGGCCGAGGTCTGGGGCAGGGCAGCACGAGCCGAACCTGAATGCTCATCTCATCACTTCGTGGTGGCATACTGAGTCTGTCACACGACAGGCGGCGCGCTGACTATGTGCTAACGGACAGAGGGTGACTTTCCCTCTGACTGAATGGCTGACTCTGACTGGACGAGCTACGACTTTCATGACATTCATCGGCTCGTGGGTGACTCGACGTAGCCAACGAAACGACCATGACACCTGGTTTAAAATGATTCTGACGCGATGATGTGGCAAGAAATAAAAATAATGGAAACAACGCAATCTGGGGCGGCCGGGTCTAAGCGAAGTTGGCTAGAGGCGGCAGCCAAAGAGACACCACCCACGCCCACACACAGTATAGTAGAATCCTAGCTCCATCGGCGTGCCCGAGGGCGTGCCCGGCGCGCGCTCTTACTTTTATTGCTTTCTTTATCTCGCCGCGCACTCGAGCGGGAGAGGATACCAACTCACGAGTGCTCACGAGATTCCGCCTGGAATTTCGCGTGAAGCCAGAAGCAAGTCTTAATACTCTGCGGGGGAAAATACCTGCGAAACCAACGACGAAAAATACAATCACACACACATACACATGCGCGAGAGTACGTAAGCCTGGGTGCCGCCGCCGGCCTGGCGCCTGCTTCCTGCCTTTGTTGGCGAGCGCCCCGGGAGGCTGCTCGCGGGCCTCGGCGGTTGCGGGGTGGGCGCCCAGGGCGTGCCGAGGCCCAAGGCTGTGTCCCGGTGGCGTAGCTCCACGGCGGCGGCGGCCCTTAGCACGCGCCACCCCCTCACGCGCCCGCCCGCTCGCGCCCAAACTCCGTCCCGGTCCGTCTATCCTGCACAATCTTGGCTCCGCCAACGAAGGCCGAGTGCGAGACGCCCGAACTAATTGCTCGGGGGTGTACACATACGGGGCGGCGCGGGGCGTGGGAGGACGCCCCCCTTGCTGCCCCCAGTGCCGCCCCCC